GTAGAGCTGGGAGATGTCTTATTTTAATTAGAAATGTGTGGGCTACAATTATGTCTCATTAGGAAAGGTTTTGGTTGTTTTTCAGAGTTTCTGAAAAATTAATTTACTAAAAATCGGATCTCCGGAGGCTTATGGGCAGCCGCCATGGTCATATTTGGAATCAGCATAGTCGATAACCTATAATCCACTAGGTCTCACTGAAAAAACGATTTGACAGTTAAATAGGTTCCCTCGTCAGGAAGCGTTTCGAAACGGATTCCAGTCGGTCAGTCGTTATTCCGACGTCATTCGTTAGGTCGGTATAGCTATTATCCAGCATGATTTAGAACGGCTTTATATAGAGTACTATGGGGCAAAAAGAATCAGTCAGTTCGCGGAATTTTCTTACATTCTCCTTTTTGCAGAAATTAAAACACATATCTGTTAGATTTCGAGTTGATCCTGTTGCATCCGTAATCAGCTGAATACTGATAAGAAGATCAGTGAATGACACATACACTAAATGATTGTTGGAGCGCTATACGTTGTATATGTTATTTATCAGAGGCGGCGGAACCATGGAGCCCGTGGATACTTTGACACGCACAGATTTTGAAAATTTTCGTTTCTTCTAGCAGAAACTTATTTTTTCTTTGCGTTCTTGTCCTTTAGCAGTCATAGTTTCAGAATCATTCCGCCGCTTCTGTTATTTATATTTTCTTCATCGACCATATTTTAATATCCTGATAGTTTACAAGCTTGCAGAAATATGAAAATAATGTTTTATGTTACAAATATCAGTATTGCAACAAAATATTTGTTTTTAACAGACAACGAATCGATGCTAACAATTGAAATACAAAAACGCTTTAGATAGAATTGTCGATTGTTCCATATTTAGCATATTTCTAGAAGATTACGCTAGTGAATGTACTTAAGCGATGCTAATACCTGATTACTTGCCAAGTACTTGACAAGCTTCCTCACTTACTAAACAGTTGAATAAGAACTTGACAAGTGTTGTTACTTCTCAAGTTCTTCTCTAAGCACTCGTCAAGTATCGTTACTTGATTTGCTTCAGTCAAGTACTTGGACTCTTATGCTTTGCATTGACCACTCGTATATAAACGTCACAATATCAATCGGTGTAAACTTAGAGAATAGTTTGGTCGCCATGCATGCGTCTGCTCTAGAAAAGTAGAGTATAACTTCGGAATACGTACAAAATACAAAATAAAGATGTAAAGATAAATGGAACGAGTACTTCGCTGAAGTTTTTCAACTAAATTTATTTGCACTGGATCAGCCAAGTACTGGAAAAGTAAATTCAAAGTACCTATAAGTAAAATTACTTGTAGAAAATCATCAGAGAGTAACTTCATCACCAACCACTTTTTTCAAGTACTTAGTTTCAAGTACATTCACTAGAATATTTACTATTATTCGGCTTCATTTAAATTGTTTTTAATATTCCATCATGTAAAAGTGAGCAACGATTAATTTTTATTATTCTTTCAGCAGCAGCCTTTTGACCAAAGATAAGAAAAAACTGTAAAAATGTTGACATCAAAATTAATATTAATATATTGATTATTCTTTACTACTATGAGAAAGAAATTTATATATACAAGCACTTATTTTAACATAGAGAGAAAGAGAGAGGAAATAATATAGTCTGTTAGGTACGAGATTTATCAAAAAAGAAAACACATAAAAATCTCAATGAATGGTGAAGAGCAGTTTTCGTGTATAGCATCGATAATACTTGACTAGAAAGGAAGGCGACACAGAAAAAGTCTCTTACTGTCAATTGATATAATAATAGAACAAAGAGAGAACAAAAAATAAACATTATTATTTATTTACACTGTGGTGTCTGATTATTTTTCTTCCTTCGACGACATATCTTGAGATTCAAAGATTCGTAGGAAATAAAAAAAACGATTTCGTTAAAAGATGGAGAGATTCACACCACATACAGCATCATTAAAAGCAAACGGTATATCGGATGAAGAACAATAAAAGAAAACAAAAAGAGTTCAACGAGTTATACAGATGAGAATGAGAATAAGCAAAATAATTGCAATTTTTTTAAACTGTTACAATTTTTTGAAAGTAAAAAAATGAAAATGATTTGAATGTCTCATGTAGTTTTTCTGCTATAACAAATCCATAATATTAATTCTGTGAAATAAAACATTTAAATACAAAAAAAATTGTTGTCATTAGACAAAAAATATATTCGTGTACAGAAGCTCCCTGTCTCATGATATCCAAAAAAAAAACTTAAGATGGATAAACAGTAAACTTCTAATAAGATTAGAAAAAATGTAACATTTTAGATTAGACACCGGTTTTTTACATCTTTTTTCTCATGATGTAAAAGAATGACTTTGCTACACAATAGTTTGTCAATTACAGATTTTATAATCTCAGAAGTTTTCATTAAAAATTGTGTTGTTTTCCGTTAGCATTTTTTGATGTTGTCTAGAAAATCTATTTGTTTAATCTCCTTGTGCATAGTTTAGAAAATTTTAGAAATTAAATAATAGAAAGAAAGATTCTATGAATAGAAACTTTGAAGTACTGCTCAAACATGAAAGAATTTGGAAGACACTATGAATAGAGAAAAGAAGATACACAATGAGGGGAGGGAGAAAAGAAAAAGATGTAAATATTAAATATTGCTGAAAATATATAAAATATTATCTAAGCAAAAATTTTTACTAATATCACCACTATGTATATCTTCATCCATATATAGTCATTTGTTTTTCTGAAAAATAATTTCATGTTAACGGATTTTGTTCATGTGTATCGATTGATGATCTGGTCGTTATTATTATTGAAGGTTGTTCATTCCTTCTAAATAAATGTCGAAAAAATATCGGACGATATCGTCTATTATGCCTTGCTGTGACTGTATGATGCCGTTGTTGTTGTTGTTGTTGTTGATCATCAGGTAGTGATACGGAATGAAATGTCGATGAAGAGTCATTATCTATAATGGCTGTAGAAGATGTTATTGGTGGTAAATCATTTGCATCTAGAACTGTTATTATACAATCATTATTTTGATTTTGATTTCTGGAAGAATAAGAATCTATTATATGACCAGGTGTTGAATTAGACATTTTTGTTAAATTTCGACGTTCACTTATCGAATGAATTATTATACGTTGATTAAATTGACGCCAACGAATACAAAGCTTAACAGAGAGAGAAAGAGAGAAAATAATTCAATTTATCTTCGTTTTATAGTAAAAATAAAAAATAACAAAAATTCTCTTACTTGTAAATACATTTTACATTGTACATATAAAAATACCTGAAAATAAATTAAGTAACAAATTTATATATATCTTTTCTTATCATTTTGTCAAACTTACTAAACCACCGGTAAATCCAATTGCTACTACAATCAATTTAGTCCAAAATGGCCATTCTAAAAAATAGATTAAACATTACGTTTAACAGGAAGAATACAGTTCAGCTTTAAATTTGTGTTGACTGTGTAGCTGATAATAAAAAATTAACATTTGTCTATTCTGTATATTGAAATAGGATAAGTGAGAATAATAAAGTCTTAGGTATACTAACCTAATTTTCCTAATTTGACTTCTTCTCTTGTCTTTTCAATTAAAACGTATAATGACCATAGAACACATGTAACAGCAAGTAAATTAAATGCAACAGAACACATTATTTTACGACGTTCAATAACATTTATGTCTAGTTTTTGCCACTAAACAGCAAAAAAAAAAATAAGTAAATTACCGTTTAATAAACAATTCCATTAGATAATAACCTGTTTAAATGGTTTGATTTCAGCATGCATTATAAATTCAAATTTACATAATTCACAGGATTTAACTCCGGCACTTTTAATCCAACGCTAAAATACAAACGTCCAGTATATTTATTAAAAGACATCAAATAATTAAAGCTGCAAAAGTAAGTCAATTTGTTTGATATGTAAACTATTAGCATGGTATATTTTTACATGAGACATTTTAACTCTGTATAATTTCGAGAGATCAGAATAGATGAACAGCTGGTTGTTGTTTCTTTATTACGCTTTGTCAAATGACTACTGTCTTATATTAACATCATTGTTTTCTTAACACTTATGTTCAGTTTTTTCAAAGATAATTAATCACTAAAAGTTAAAAGAGTATAAAATTGTGTCATACAATTAACGATATTTTTGTGGCCTCAAACTATTCAGTTCGAATGTTATCGCAAAAAAAAAATTGCATAGTAATGATGCCTTGAGGAGATGATTACATATTCATACAATTAGTCAACATATGTTTGGACTTTATGGATGGATAATGATATGCAACAGTCCAAATGAAATATTCAATTACACAATAAATAAAAACTATTTGTAAAGAAATGAACATAAACTATTGTCCACTTAAAATATAATAGACGTAGTTGTTTTTTGAGTAATTTTTGATCAAAATATATAGTTTTGGCCATTCGATGGACGAGTCTTCATAGTTCTTTTTCTAGAAAGCTAAGCTTAAAAATCGTTTTTCAAAGTAAAAAATCTTCGAAAAATCGAGTCATGTTGCAATAACTTACAGTACGAATATTTTGGATGTTTTCTCATGAGTAGAGAGTTTAGAATATTCATTTCATATGCATCAGAATTGGAATGAGACAAGATTATTAAGTTTCGATAAAATAGGCAAAAACCAATTCTTTTCGTCAGTTTTCATTATAGTGTTAATTTTTTTGAGAACCAAATATCACCTTTCACACTCGGTATGCCCAATAAATGTTCTGTGTTTTGAGATTGCCGTACAGCAGTGAAGACTACTGCTGCTTCTAGAAATTCCAATGCCATATCTGAACAACTGTAAATGAAGGTCCTGATTGACTTCCATTTCAAAGAGGCAGGCTGTCTACTTATGAAAAAAAACGCCAAAATATTCGTACTGTAAGTTATTGCAATATTACTCGATTTTTCGAAGACTTTTTACTTTGAAAAACGATTTTCAAACTTAGCTTCCTAGAAAAAGAACTATGAAGCCTTGTCTATCGAATGGTCAAAACTGTACCTTCCGATCAAAAGTTATTCCGAAAGTAATCATATGTAATGAACGAATAACAGACAAGCGTAGGCATGCGCCAGTTATATAACTAGTATTAGGGCGTCCAGAAAAATTGTTATAAAGCGGTTATTAAGAATCGTAAAGACTTGCGAAACATCTCATTTTGTAGACAAATGTTTGCTCTATCTATCTGTTGAAACGAAAAAAATTGAAAGTTGTAACAAAAATATGAACATTCTTAAATGTCATAACTGTACGTGGTAACTGGCCACCAGTTAGAAAACTATTCGTGCCTCTTCAGTGATTCGTTAAAAACGCTTCTCTTTTTCAGCCTTTAATTTTTTCTTCCATACAAATACATAGAACAAACATTTATTGAATAAAGTCCTACTGACCGGAATCTACTTTGAAAAGCTTCCTTACCTGTAAACATGATTGATGAAGATATTGCATAGTTCCGATACAATAACATGGAGATATAAGTGGCTCTTCTATTCCTTCACAATGGCAAATACGGCAGATATCTGGACTATCACTTAAACTTGATCGACTCGAAGTTTTACTTGTTATACCATTGGCGGGTGCAGCAGGAGCGGATACTGTAGATGGCACATTTGTTTGAGTGGAAGAAACTGTGCCGGATACAATCTCTCCCGGACTACAAGTTGTTGACTAGAAATAAAGAAAACAAAATGGTTTAGGAAAAAGTCCCTAAAACCAATAAATCTTAGGGAAAACTGCAGAAAAAGAAAGCATTAGTCAGATGCTACCCAATTATGGATTACTAAACCCAATGTGTGAAATGTATATTCACAGGCGCCAATAAAGAATTAAAAGGAGGGAAAATTTTCATTCACATCTTTTACCGAACAACTACCTTTTATGGTAGAAAAATCAATTATATGCTTTCTTTATTACCCAGAGAAAGCATATTGAGCTACACCTTTTTTTGTCTACAGTCACTGGTTAGAAAACTCGATTATTTCTTCTTCTACATTTTTTTAGTCTTTCAAAAAAGTACTTTCAAATTTTTATTTTTATACCGTTAGCCATATTTCAGCATCCTTAGTTTGTTTATTTTTTTGTTTTATAGAATAGTTGTCTTTTATTTAGTTTTAGCTTGTTCCCAGACGTTTACTGTTATTATCTTATACATTTGGAGGAAATCATCGCGTTCTAGGTCATAAAACTTTGCTGTTCTCCCACTTTTTGTAAATAAACTTAACTTATCTTCTTCACAACTGAATTCATAGAATTTTATCACACGAAGGACTTACACTTGCGATATCTGAACTACATGTTGTCGTAAGGTTTACTTCATTATCACATAATTTTGTTGTACTGTCGCTCTGTTTCACTGCCATATCACAAATAATCGATATTCACCATGCACTAAATACAAACACGAATAAAAACATAGAAATATAAAAGAAAAACCTTCAAGGGTTTACAATCTAAGCATAATGAACGAAATGTTTTTTTTCAAATGGCAGTTAGGTCTTTAGTAGAAGATCTATACGAAAGTAGACTTAAACTACAGCAAGCAGTTTTATACAAACAGACAGTACCTGATGATGCAAGTTGTTGCTCACTGTATGTAATTATCATCTAAAATATTTAAAAAAAATAACAAGAATATTAAGAAAAACTATTACGTTTAAACCGTAGTGGGACACAAAGAAGCGAAATAGTAAAGAGCTTAATTTTAATTTCTATGCTTGAATAAATCGTATTGTTCATGTATAACAATTTAAAATTATCAATTTTGTGCGCAGAGTGTCTTGTACCGGCAAAACATGGAAAAATGGCCGGTAGCTGCTCCAAGCAGCAGCCAATAAAGAGACAACGAAACGAGAATAAACGTTGATGCAGTTATGTTATATTGAAGAGGCGAGAGCTCAGTCGCAGACGTCACCGTTTAGTTAAATATAATCAGAATTCTTTAGAATTTAACACTAGAAATTGAATTCAATAGGGAGAGCCACTATACGGTCTGACAAAAGTTATCATAGCAGAATGTTAATTGTCATCGCATTTGATAAAATCGTGACGGCTCCATAACTGATAGAGTCTTTACTGATGTTTAGCTATTTTTGAGAATCGAAGCTTATGAGTAGTGGCGTAGCCACCGAGTAGGCTGGGGTGGGCTCAGAGCTAGAACCAGTTGAGAAACGGTAAACCGATCCAGTCTGAAAGTGTAACCGGATCGGCCCGGTCAGTAAATTGGCCGGTTGGAATTATACTTCATATCGGTAAAAAACCAGCGAAAACCGGTAAAATACCGGTGAAAAACTGACAAAGTTTTTTGAAAACCGATTTCAGAAAGACTTCCTCCGAGAAATGAAACAGTTTGCGAGCACATGTGAGAGAACCATCATAATAACGAGTGTATAACATTCAATCTTAAAACAAGTAATGAATATAATATCTGTCTTGAACATCGTCCTATTTATTCTGACTGAAAAAGATGTGAAATTTTAGTTTTTTGATGAAAAACATGGTAAAAGGAGCAGATTTTTCAAAACTTTCAACCGGTCAAATACCGCTCTATACCGGCTCGATATCGGTCTGGCCGGACCGGTTCCAGCTCTGGGTGGGCTCATCTCACCGACTATAAGTTTTATAATTCACATTGTTCTGCAGTATTAGACATTAAATGTCTACCACTTTTTAAATGTTACACCAAAAATTTGGGGCAACATCCACACTAACAAAATTCTGGTTGCGCCACTAGTAAGAGAACACACGATGACAGTTCGTTCTGTTAAAAGTCATTCGTCATTTCCAAAAATAAATTTTAATGGAATTAACTTATATGTGTATTCTTTTTGTAAATGTGACAAAAAATAAATGCACATTCAGTCACAAAATTCGCTGCTAATATAAAATGATCCATGAGGAGGAAGTTTATGATCCGCCCGATCAAAGAATTAATTTACCAAATGTAAGTGTAAACTGTTCTATATAAGAACTGGTCTGTAGTCTAGATTATTTTAAACTATGTAATGTAACATCCCTATTATTGTATATACAAACTCAGTAAATCGCAATTAAACGATTTTCCTCATTTGACTTTTCATTTAATAAAAAGGAGTATTTTCATCCCTATCGGGAGCAACATCCAAATCGTGCTCACGATCCTCCTTATTCAACGAAAAGTGGCCTCACGCAATCAACTCGTGCTCATGATTCTTCTTATCCAAAGAAAGGTGACCTCGTTGAAGTCGAAACAAGTAAAGTTATACGATTAAAAGAATTTGAATTTACAAACAAATATTGGATCCCCACATCATTTGATCACGTAAGTGTGTAAGGGGTGTTACCAATTAGAGTGGATCTTTTGTACATTTCTACAATATACTACAACTGAACACGCTTAACATTTATATCTTGTTACAGTAGAATGATGAGTAGAGAGCAAAAATAAGAAAATGGAGAGAGAAAGAGAGGGAGAAAGTTCCAACGATAAAGTACGGTATGACGAATAATTTCTTTCACAAAGTGCTGTTCATACAACTACCAAAACTAGTAAACTTTACAAAATAGAGCGAGCAAATCTAGAACACTTAAGTGAAGTAGTGTTGATAACCTTCTAATTACTTATGACTGAAGTCTTACTTAAATTTTACTCTATACTACTAAATAGTAGTTTTTTGTGTTATCAAAGCTAAACTATGTTCATAATTGTGAAATTGACTTTTACTTGTTTGACTATTGCAGGTTAAAGCCAAAACAACGTGTGCATGTTTTGATAATGCCTGTATGACAATGTGGTGCAAAAACTATGTAACCTGTCCATGTTGGTGTTGTCTGTGTTTCGTACATTTGCTACTTCTGTTATTCTTCGGAAGTGTTGCTTTTATTGTTTTGTTCTATTTAAAAACATTTGCAGGCTAAATGCATGAAACTCTGGAGCAAGTAGATCAGAGTAAAATCTCATGTTTGAAGATTCATCGAAAATCTCTCTTTACACGAATTTTTCTTCTGATAATCTTCAATAGACTGTTCAACCTTTTATTGGGTACTCAGGTTAACTTTCTTAATATCGTTACGACGTGAGTCACCAAGAGAAGTCAGGTCGGGATCGTTGATACACTGGCTATAAGATTCACGAAATAAGACGCGAAAAAAACGTCCAGTAAATTGTATACTAAAAGAAATGCATCGAAGAAAAACGTCGAGAGGACGCGCGCATTTAGAGTTAGCTAACAGAGCTCCGTATGGTTCGGTCCAGGACCAAGTCGGACCGTACCGTAATTAGTGATTTATCTAGTTCGGGTGGGCGTGAAGCCTTGACTTGCTTTTGTCAATCATTTTTTCTGACAACAGCGTTGAGAAAACTAACTGCTAAATGGAAGGAAATTTACTAACGAGGAAACCTCTCCAACTTGAAAATCGCTTTTGGTCAGATTCCGATTGGAATATAGGTGTTTTTTTTTCAATCTTTCGTTCATTTTATCCTATAAGATCTGAGAGTTTGGGTTCAGATGAAGTATCATTCCTTTTGAATCGTATCTGTGCGCAACAGCCCTGTTAATTATAAAGAATTATGAAAACATTTATGATGAACGCGTAGACGATTCGCTCATCCAAAAATAAACCGTTGATTTCGTGTAGCAAAAATTTTTTTAGACAACTGTCCCTCCGAAAATTTCAACCGCCCGCTCGGAAAACGAAACCTAGATAAAGCACTGACCGTAATCCATCTAATTCGACTTAGATTCAGCTTTTAAAAGTTTAATGATTCGAACTCGTCCCGATACGAAAACTATTGGTCCGAACCACTCCTGGTTGGAATTTTTTTTAGAGATCTATTTGCTTTTTTGTTTAATGACTAGATACACTTTGTTGAACATTTAATTAAAAAACAGTTTGTTTTCAGGTTTGATAAAAATTAAAATTAAACAGTTTTGCGTTACACAATAGAAATGGACCATCAAAGGAGGAAAATAATTTTCATGGTCTAACGTGGTCCAAAAAATTTAAGGTCCGGATTGGTTCTGGTACCAAATTTTTTTATCAAAAATGGTCCGAAGCGATCCAGGTGACAAATGGTCCGATACCAAAAATTGAGACCAGACCGGACCATACGGAGCCCTGTTAGCTAATTACATTCTTAGACCAGAATCAGGAGAAAAACAAATCTTAGGATGGCTGATTGTAATTAATAACCGCATGAAAAACGCCACACGTCTTGCTTTTATAAAACGTTTTGTGCAAACGCTTAAAATAAGTGAATAGTAATTTTTTTATTCAAACAGGTAAACTATTATTGTAAAGTAACATATGAGAAAACAATAAAAGGAGGGCATATGATCGAAATCTGTTTATCAAATATAGTCAATATAATTATGTGTAGCACGAAAAATTAATTAATAATTAAAAAACAATAATCAAATAGTCAAATACACAATAATTTTTTTCGTTTTTTTATCAAACTGCAAAAATTGAAGAATAATGTGCGATTTGGTGAGAGAATCTGATACGATACTTATTTTATTTAATAATTGTGAGAATGAGAAATATAGTGAATCGAAAAAAGTATTACTTGAACAAATAAATGAATCGTCTGTTGTCATATATAAAGATATTAAATTATTTTTAATCTATATTCAAAATAATAAAGATCAAAAGATAATCAAATTTTTACTTAAAAATCAACTATTTTCATTTGATTTAAAACAATACGATAATTATCTTTTTATAATACATATACAGTACTCTCCAAAAGTAGCGAGCCCCTGTAACTCAAGAACCACGATATGAATTTAGAGTGGAAGCTCTTAATGGTTAGTGAAATGCAGCTATTTTACGATAGAAGTCTCTGGAAATGAGGTTCTGAGATATGAGATCCTTTTGAAGAAAAATTCATAATTCATTTTAGGAACATCAGTTCAATTTCACACTCACAGCAAATACTCTTTGACGATTGTAGACTATTTAGTCAAAGTATGAAGGTTAACTATTGTGTGATTCTGGAAATTCATTGAGAACGAGAACTCACAATTGAAACATATGTAGCAGAGCGAGGGTCAGGAACTAAGGATCGGTCTTTCTACTATAGAATCTGCATTCAATATTATGAATGCATGCATCATAATTATGAAAAAATAATCATAGAAACGTATGGTTCCGAAAAACGTAGGTGAAACTTTTGTCAGAAAGATTACACACCATTAATCTAGAGAGAAAATTTTCAGTGAATGTTTTTGTTCGAAAACCAAATGTTAAGTATGCTATTCGACTCAGTTTTCTTTACTGATCTCAAATATGTTATTAGTTTTGCTTGAAAATATAAGGGAAGTGAAAAGGGTGCAAAATTAATGAAATGGCGACGATCAGAGGTGAGTATATAATCGTTCTG